TGCTTTATTTTCCTCTGGGAAACCTTTGTTTAGGATCATTTAATCAAGAACAGACATTAAACACAAGTCGTCGTGTTCATCTCTGCTGAATAAAACGCGGGAAGGGTTCCAGTTTAAATGCGGGGCGTATTGTGGTTGGGCTTTTATTCAAACGGTTAGCCGGGGCCCGATCCTGCCTCCACTAGCGTAATAAGAGACTAACAATTGACCTCACTGAAGCGGGATCGGGCCCAAGCCCTTTTTTTTTTTTTTTTTTTGAAGAAGAAGAAGACGACACTGGAAGCAATTGAAGGAGGGAAAAAACTGGACGGCTTCTCTTCCCCTAAAATAAACAGTATTGCACAATCCAAAAAGACAATAGTCAGATCATTCGCATGCCACTTACTGAATCACGTTTACATATGAATTTGTCAGATATAATAATGTACCCCCCGTATTCATTCTCGCTAATAAAAGCCATCTAACGCATCTTAAAATTGTCAGTAAATGTAAACGCTAATAATTAAATAACACAGTTCTTGAAGAAGGGTGTCATCTGAGCCTTGGAAATATTAAGTCTGTCTTGGGAGAACTTTTCCAGCAGAGGCTTTGCTTTGGTAATTTAGTAGTTCCATAATTACGCTAATAATTTTAAATTTGGTGTTGAACTCCAGTCTACATAAAATCATGCAATAATAGCCTACTAAGCTGTTTATTGCCGTCTCATAAATTTGAGAGCGCTGACTGCTAAAATCTACTGGCAAACACAAAAGAAAATGGGAAGTTCAATCTGCAATCGCAGAGCCCGGGCGCTGCTGCCTGAGGTTATTCTTAGCTCTACCTTTCCCTCCACTCGGCTCCAGCACGGGGGGAACCCCCCGGCATTTTAGGCTCAAACTCATACCTTAGCCGTTTTGATCCCTAATCAATAGTCATGTTACAAACGGCAATAATCATCGATCAAGCGTGTCGTGACTGGGTTGCCCCACTCGTGTTAAATATGGAGCGTGTATTTGAAAATGGTGCCAGCGACTTTCTGTTATTTATTTTGGAGCTATTAAGTCGCGCCACCATATTTTACACTGCCACAGTCCTTTAAACTATGCTGCTTCTTGAAAGAGTTGCTAAGTAGCAATAAAGCACTTTAGAAACGCTATGACTTTTTTTTTTTTTTTTAATTTGTTGTTATCCCAAACTCTAATATTCATTGCGGCACTTTAAGTTCGTACATAAATCGTTCAGACTAATGAGTCATAGAGAAATTCGCCCATGACTTTTCCTTTACAATGCTCATTGCCTTTCCATTGCTTTTTTGGCCCTGCATTAGGAGCCGGTGATTTATTAACGCCGGGAAAATTGAACAAAGCAGGTCCTCCTGCACTGTGGCACCCAGCCTTCCACAGTGTGAATTAGAACATTATCAAATGTGTTTGCCTCGGTAACACTTAATCACCAAAAGCCGTAATGTGACCACAAGGCAGCTAAAACAAAGATTTAACATTTCTAAATATTAAACTTGTTAAGCAAATGCTCAGCAGACAAAGCAAGCACAAACAATTAAAGTCATCAAGCTAGAAATACACACTACCTACTTACCAACACAGACCCTACTGCTTGCTTAAGAAGTTTAGAATCTTTCAAGATAAATCAGGTGGGTTTTTTTTTTAAAGGGAAAAAAAAAAAGAGAAAGAAAGAAAGAAAAACAAACTCCAGTAATAAGGAGTTGAGTTTCACTTCTGAGAGAATCACTCCTAGTGAGGTCTGACGGCCACAGATCCATTCCTGACTATCTGCATTAATTATTTAATGAGTCACGTGACCCTAAAGATTAAAATTTCAATATCTCCCCCAGAACAGACGCAACACCTTTATCTGCGAGCGCAGGGTTCCTCGTACTTGGGTCCCCTCGTCTCTGCTGGCTTTGACAGCTCCTCAGTTTCCAGGGACAGCGCTCGGGCGTTAATAACACAGGATTTTCTCGCTCTGTACAGCGAGATGGGGCAGGTTTGCAGCCCCCCGGTCCCCCCAGATTAGCCAGTTGAACCCAGATCCTCATTGTCTGCAGCGGGGGGGAGCTCTGGGCGCTGCTGGCGGGGGGACAGGGGAGC